GAGACTAGCCTTGCACTTCTGATCTTGCCTTTACCTCCCCAATGCTGGGGTTATAGACATGTGCTCATTCTACTAATACAGTGAATTAGTCTACATTTCACCTTGTATTCCTGTGATATTATGCATGAATCAGTCTTGTATTCCCAGGGTAAACTACACTTTTTGGATTCCATTTTTTGGGTTTTCATGTTTTTGTCTTTGTTTGGTTGACACAGGGTCTTGCTACAAAGATCAGGCTGGCCTGGGCCTGGAACTCCTGATGCTCCCGCCTCAGCCTCTCCTGAGTGAGGATTGTAAGAATGTGCTACTACATTCAATTCAATTTAAAATATTTTATTAAAAACTTTCAATTTACTTTCAGAAAGAACACTGGTCTCCGATATTCTTTCTTGTAATGTTCTGTCTGGTTTTGATAATAGGATAAATAGGAAATCCTCCCCCCCATCTGTTGAGGATTGATTCAAAAAACATGATAGGCAAGCACTCTATCACTGAGCTATACTCTAGCTTTGTTTATTTTTAAAAGGATTTGTAAAATATTGATATTTCTTCTTTGAGTATTTGATGGTTTCTGTAATGGGTAGGTGTCTGTTCAAGTTTTCTACTTCACCTTGTATCATTTAAGTTTTACATTTTATTTTACGTGTATGGGTGTTTTCCTGCATGTGTATCTGTATACCATGTGCACACAGTGCCCACAGAGGCCAGAAGAGGGCATCGGATCTCCTGGAACTGGAGTTACAAACTGCTGTGAGCTGCAACATGGGTGCTGGCAACTGAACCAGGAAACTGCAAGAGCAGCCAGCGTTCTTGACTGCTGAGCCATCTCTCCAGCCCAGCCCTGTGTTATTTTTACAGTTTAAATTACTTAAGGCTTGTCCCTTTCCTCTAAGTTGTTAAATTTATTACCTTAATTTTGTTATTTATAATGTAATGGCTATTCTTTCAGAATTTCTATTAATATGGTTTCTTTCTTTTTAGTACTGAGTATTTATGCTTTCTGTATTTGTTTGCTTGTTGAAACAGAGTCTGTATATGCAGCTTTGCTGGCCTTGAATTTAGGAGTCTCCTCTCTCACCTCCTGAGCACTAAAATTATAGATAAGAGCTGGAGATAATACTCAAGGCTTCATGCATGCTAGACAAACAGTCTACCAACTGAGTGACATCCCAGCCCTGTTATATTTTCTTCTACTTTCTTGGGGTTTAATTTGTTCCTTTTCCTAGATTCCCAAGTTGAATATTTATAGTGGTTTTATTTTTTAACTTTTTTTCAGACAGGGCCTTACTATGTAGCCCAGAGGCCTTCTGGATACTAAGATCGCAGGTGTGAACTAGCACTCCCAGCTAAGAACATTTTCTTCATGACTTCAGTCTTCTGAGATTGATGGGACTTATTTTCCAGTACACTTCAGGGAAATTCAATGTGCGCTTGTCTCATATACCACCAATGATGACAGTATTTCAAATCAATTAATGAAGATAACTGATAGCACTGTTCAGATCATCTGAATCTTTATTGACTCATGTTTTGTTCTAGCTTTATTGATAGAAGAGTGTTAAATTATCCAACTGTAGATTTTGTTCATCTTTCAGTTTCCCCATGTGTATGTATATGTGTGTGTATATATATATATATATATATGTAACATCCTAAGGGATTGACCCTCTAACAGTATAAAATAGCCTTTTATTCCTAGAAATCTTATTTTCTACTTTATTACGAATGTAGCTAAGCCTCATTCAAGAAGATAATTTTTTTATTTACTCTCAACTTATTCACATTTATAATTTTTTATTATAGTTTCTTTTGTGTGTATATATACCTGCATATGCAACCCATGGTACACATGGGAAGGGTAAAGGCAAGGAACAACTTTTAGGCGCCAACTTTCCTTCACCATGTGGGCCTAAAGAACTGAACTCAGGTTACTATGCTCGGTGATAAATGCCTTTATCAGCTGAGCCATCTCACTGGCATCTACGCAGGGGTTTTTGTTTTAAAGAATGTTAGCATTTAATTAATCTCCCTATGTGGCTTCAAGTCATCAGGACACACAAACTCCCAACAGCCTTAATCTCCTCAGATCTTCCTCTGAAGCATCTGGCTTTCACAATG